CGGGTCGCGGTGGGTGGCGCAGGAGCTGCTGGCGGGGCTGCTTCGGGCCACGGGCTGCGGCTCGGTGCCTGAATTCCTCCGCGGGCAGGACGAAGAGGAGGAAGGAAGGTTTGCAGCAGTGATGGGGCTCCTGAAGCAGGAGCTGACCAAGTGAGTAGGGCAGGGAAGGAGGGCGGCGATGGAGAGGGCGGCATGCCTCTACGTAGGCAATACCAAGGCTTTTAGGTGGGGCAGGTCGTGGGGATCGTGGAGGTAACGCTGGCTCGTGGGAGGCTTTGCGTTAGCTGGCCTGGTCCGTCAGGTATCTCTGAGGTAAACGGGGAGCTTCCTGGAGTAACAGTGTGTGGGTGCAGCGGTCCATGCTGCGCAGGCAGTGGAAGCCTCGCCGCTGGCTCCGCGAGGAGCTCTGCAGAGAATTGGCTGCGTTCCTAAGGAAGCAAAGATGATGCCATCAGCTGTGAGTCCATCTTTGTTGTGACTCCGACAAGCCGTTAAGCCGTAGCTGATGGGGGGCAGAGCCTTCAGAAATGATTACATTTACGTGAGTTTGCTGAAAAGAACGGGGTAAAGACGGAGCCCTTCTAGCAGGGGGAACGTAGCTATGTGACTTCATGTGTTACAAGACACTGGACGATGAACATGGGAGATAGACTTTACTAATACTCCAGTCATGGAGGGGGGGAAAAAAAATCAGTCAAAGTTTGCTGCCAGCAGAGAGGCCCAAATCCATAGGAAACGAGGATTCATTCCTTCCGGTTTTCACGGAGCTTGTTTATGTTTCCAGAGACGCTTGGAAGTGCAACCCTGCCATGAAGCACGTGTTCTCCTGGACGCTGCTTCACATCACCCGGCCCTGGCTCAGCCGTTACCTGGAGAGTGTTCTCCCGCCGTCGTTGCTCATCTCAGATGACTACCAGGAGGAGAATAAAATCCTGGGTGTGCGCTGCCTGCATCATATCATTCTCAATGTGGTAAGGAGCTGAGAAATTAGAACCCTTGCTGGTGGTTGTGTGAAGGAAGGATGGGTTGGAGGCCTGTTACCATTCCTAACTTCTGTTCCTGGCTCTGCCTTTAACCTCATGATTTTGCTGCATCTTTCATACTGTCCCTCTGTATTCACATGTTTGTATTTCTTGCATCTGTTATGCTAACCGAGGAATTGCCTTACAATCTTTTGAACTCAGCTGATTCGTAGCTCAACCTGAGAATGGTTTGCAGGGCAGGGTATTAAATGCGTGGCAGTGGAACTGCAAACCAGCAATCAGTGAGGCGAGGGAAAGTGGGTGCTCCTATGCACCGCGGAGCGCAACCTGCATTTAATATGCCAATTGGAAAACATCCTTGTCCACCCGCATGTGAATCATAACCAAGGAATGCTGGTCAGCACTATTTATAAAACTGCTGAGTTGAGTCTTAAAGTGTGTTCAGTTCTGCCTTATTGCCTGGGTTACCTTCCTGGTCTTTGTTTATGACAGGCTGGGGGGCAGGAGGGAGGGCATGTACTGTCTTGTGGCTGGGAATTGGGTTAGTAGCAGTAATAATCTGATGCTTAGCCTTTTGCTGGGCCCTTCACTTGTCTGCCAGTGCACCTCAGAGGCAATAAATATCTCTTCCGCCTCTGTGAATATTCTGTGAATATGTGATGTATGCTGTAAAAAGCATACATCTGAGGAGCAAAGCATTAGGAGATAAGACCGTGGAAATAAACGGCAGCTCCTATAGCCTGCTCCCACTTTCCTTTAACAAGTAAGCAGTGCTCCTAATGTGCAGTATCTGAGAGGGTGATTTTTTTTTTTTTAAATAAAACCTGGGTTTGTGAGGGCTGTTCTCTTTGATTAGGTTAAGCAGGTGATGAATGTGATGCATGGGAATAATGTTCTGTTGCTCTATCTGATGTTGCAGCCGGCTGCTGATCTGTGCCAGTTCAACAGAGCTCAAGTGGTGTACCATGCCCTTTACAACCATCTCTATTCGCGTGAGGCCCCTCTCATCGAGGTAGGACAGCAGAGCTTAATTTGAATCTGCCTTACAGTATAGCATGTCCATCCCATGAGGCGCACAGCTCAAGACACAGGGAGGCAGACCCTCTGTCTCCTTGCAGGAAGTCCTGGGCTAACTTAGGGTTATTACTAGCTGATGCTTGTTGCCAAGAGACAAAATAACTCGGTAGATTTCAGGAAAATCACAAGGGAGAAGGAAGACCTCTTGCTGCCTGTTCCCTTCCAGGTGGCAGCTATACTGAAGAGGGCCAGCCGCAGGGGTAACAGGTAGCAGAGACAGTCAGGTCTGTTGGGTGAGTGGCTCCAGCTGTGTGTGGTTGGGGAGGTTGGAAGTTAACAGTGCTTTGGGGGGAACATCTGAGAGGCTGCACACATTCCCTGTGTCTCGTACTGAACCAGGCGGTACTGCTGTGCTTGCTGGACTTGCTGCCTGTGCTGGAGAGAGCCCAGCGGCACCAGAAGGAGGCCCGGCCAACCGCCCCCTGCGATGAGGTCTTGCAACTGGTTCTCACCCACATGGAGGCAGAGCATCGTGTTGCGCTGCGGCGGGTGTACGCCAGGACCCTGCCAGCCTTTGTGCAGAGGTGAGAGCAGCAACGGCAGCCCTGCAGTGACTCCCTTTTGGCTTTGGTGACTGAGGCCTGCCTTCTTGGTACGTACCGCCTTCCTCAGTGTGCACTTCTCTGTGTTGGCAGACTTGGCATCCAGATAGCCCGGCACCTGAAGAGGCTGGAGCGGGTTATCCTGGGGTATCTGGAGGTCTGTGATGGTCCTGAGGAGGAAGCTCGGCTGGGAATACTGGAGACACTGCAATGCACCATAGAGCATGCCTGGCCCAGGTACCTTTCTGGGGTGAATGATACTGTAAAAGCATAGCCTGAATGCTGTAACCCTTGCAGAGCCAAAGCTACTGTTTTCTGAGGAAAAGCCCCTGAAATCCTGAGAGAGTCTCTCTGTCACAGGGAAGAATCACTAGTGCTACTGCTTTACTAAAAAAACTTTGCCAAAAACCTTTTGCACTTGGCCCAATAGTTAAGCTAAGCTGGGTCCTTGTTTTGGTCTGATTTTTTTTTTTTTTTTTTTGCCTGTTCGATTTAGTTTTTCTCCAAAGTGATGCTTATAGGTTTTCTGTGTGGCAAAACTGTGAAGTAAGTCCTGTGCTGAGAATTAGGCTGCCTCGATGCTGACAGGCGTTTCTTGATATGCTGTCCTTAGGTGTCCTCTCTGTTCAGGGCCTGTGTCCTCCCTCTGGCGGGCATACTGAAAGAGGCAGCTTCCTTCAGCCTCACTGGAGAGCTACAATCCTCCTTAACATCCAAAATGGCAACTAACAGCTCTCCTGGGGACTGTCTAGGAACTGCTAGGCAAGGCTGGGCTTTTCCTTGACTCGCAAAGAAGATCTAGAATAATGAATACTTGCCCTGTTTCTTTGCAGAATGCCATGCAGGCTCCCTGTGCTCCTCAAGGCCCTCCTGAAGATGATCTGGGATGTACACACTGACCAAGGTTCAACACCAGAGCCAGTAAAAGCAGCCTTGCTGCAGGGAGCCACTGAGTGCCTCATCCTGCTGGATCGGTGCTCTGAGGGGCAAGTGAAGGTGAGCCTGGGACCCAGCACTACTGCTCAATCTCTGCTGTCTTACCCTTTTTAAAAAAAAAAAAGGGAGGGGGGACACGAGCCCACCTGCTTCCTCAGTCCAACACTGTTTCCAAAGCACAGTTCCACCTCCCAACATTAGCACTTGACTTGGTAGGTGTTAAGGCACTTATAGATACTATGTTTGATGCCATTCTCCTCCAATAGATATCTGGGAGGAGGCAAAATCATAAACCTGGGTATGCCAAGGAACTGAAAGCCGATGCTTTTCCTGTTTCAGATCCTGCTGGAAGGAGTGTACAGCAGCTGTGAGGAGGGCCGTGTACGGGAGTGCATCAGGAAAGTGCAAGAGAACACGTGAGGCATGGCTGATCCGACGTTCACCCTGCTTTTGTATAGTAAACTATTTTTTTATTTAAAGTTACTGTCTTTGTCCTTCCCTCTCTGTTAGCCCCATACCTCCCCAGACAAGGTACAGTTGTGTTTTCCTTGCCACATCCAGGTGTTTCTAGCTTTAGAACAAAGCAGTGGTGTCCCCAGTCCAGGTTCTTTCCTGGAGCAGTCCGAGCTCAGCCTAGTGTAGCTGCAAAGAAAGTGGGTAGTCTTCACTAAACAGCACTTAATGCAGGAACTGCACAAACTCACTGCAGTCCCTTGGGGTGGGACAGAAATCCTTCTTGGAGAAAGAAAGTTATTACCTAGAATGCTCAGGGGGTGGGATTTTTTGAGGGTCCTGCTCAGATGGGTGGAAACCGGAGGAGTTTTAGTGACAGATCTGGAGTCCTGTCAGTCAGTACAAAATGCAAGTCCAGGAAGGAGTCAGGTTGTTTTTGTTTTAGTGGCTGGCTCTGTTTCTTCTTCATACTCTATTTCAATGTAGGGTCGTTTTCTCCTGACCGGTCCTTTCAGGGGAGTTTTCCCCTTGGATTTGGAGTGAGGGACTTTCTTCTCTCTTTCTTCCTCCTCTTCCTCACTGAAGGACTTGTCTTCCTGCTCTTCCTCACTACTTGTCTCCAACTTATCCATGTCCTGAGTAAGAAGGACAAGAGATTTAATGATTGCAGTAATGTCAAAGCAGGCTGTATGACTTAACCTCCACTTTTTGCAACATTATCTGTGTATCCAACTCCACTTTTACAACTCCTGGCTCCCAGCTGTCTAGCCAGCAGAGTTGGGGTGTAACAGATACAGTGCCGTCTGACTGTATCATTACGCTTCACAAATCTGATTGCACTGGCTCTTATCCTGTCACCAGAGACACCAGCCTCGTGGAGGTTACTTATCTTGCCACAGCACTTATAGTTCATATGTGGTGCTTTACTTACCTCAAAATCACTGAGGTCACTGTCTTCTGCTTCCACAAACTCTCTCTTATCTGCGTCCTGTAAGAAATAGTCAGATGCTAGTGGGTGCACGCTGAACACAATACACTGTCACTACCCACAAAGGAGTAAGTGTCAAGGCCCTGGACCGCCCACCAGTAGGGGATGACCTGGAACGTAGTCTGTTGTCCCCTATACAGTGAAAAGCAGGGGGGGACAGCCACAGGAATAACTCGTGCCAGCAGCTATCAAGATATGTTTGGTGTTCAGGCTTAGCACCAGCCCATCTATGAAAGCAGTACGTGGCAGCCACCTTCTGCAAATGGTTAACATCCCCTCTTCTGAGGGCTACAAACCTGTTACTACCCGGAACATAACCAATGAAACTAAAGTTTGCAGTAGGCTGCAGACCTGCACATAATGGAGTCACAGTAGGAAGAGATTTGTTGCACCTAACAAGAGAAATGAAGAGGCAGAAAGAACCTGGCTCCTTGCTCAGAAGAGAGAATTACTGAACATAAACACTCCTAATAGCTCTCAATGTGACCCTCAGGAACAGAGCAGGCAAGCAAGGCAATCTTTGTGCTCGACTGCACACCAGCTAACAACGAACGAGAGAAGGGGACAGGGACACGTGATCGCTCACTTGCGCACAAATGCTTTTTCTCAGTTCACCTCCCCTAATCTGTTCCTCTCATCTTGACATTCACACTGAGTCTCAGCACACAGGTACACAAGGGGTGCTGCACTAGGTCAGGGAAGGATTAATTGTGGTACTCCTAGCTGAAAACATTACCTCGTCTTCCTCTTCTTCCTTCTCCACATCGGAGTCACTCTCGCTCTCTGCATCCTGCTGTTGCAGAGCTTTGTCAAAAGCATGAATGGGGAAGTTGTAAATGTCTCCGTACTGAAAAGGAAAATGTGGATTTTAAGTTGTACAAGAAAAACAGCTGGTGGTGATAGGATCATCTAAAGCCTATGGCCTGCACAGAGGCAGTATCAAACTAGGCTGAACTTGTGGTCCAGCCCGTTCACTAATTCAGAAATGCACACTCTGGTGTAGAAAGTGAGGGGCCCAGACTTTTGGGGAAGCAAGTTCTCCAGCCCGTTATGAAGGTGTGCAAGGGCAGGATGCAATGGTCTCCTACCCCTCCTACGTGGGTGGCGCTTCTTTCACACCAACACACATGCCCCTCCATAGCAAACCAGCAGGACAGGGCAGTAGGAGCAGTTTTATTGCTGTGCTCTGAAGGCAGTGATCCTTACTGTATCCTGTTTCAGTCTCTCCAGTAATTCCTTCTCGATGGCGTTATCTAGCTGAGCAGCAATCAGGGCTTTCTCCTAATAAAGCAAAGAAGAACTGGGTCAGTTGTTTTAAAGACGTATGGACCATCAGACAAATTATATGGAAGAGTCATGTTACCTCTCTTCTCTTCTCTCGCCTTTCAACCTTTTTGCTTAAAGGAACAAGCTTCCTCCTACAAGGAACAACGAGGGCTAGTTAATGAGTCTTTCAGCCTTGTGAGAGCTACTGTGTAGCAGAGGAGCAAAAATGTTAATTCAGGAGAAGAGCCAGCCTTTTGGAAGCAGCTATATCATTAGAAGGGTAGTTGCAACTAGTTTAAAGTGCATCTATATATGCAGATTGCCTCGGTGTTAAATTGGTTTCAACTGGGTTCATTTCCAGGCCTGCCAAAGCTTCCAGCCACCAGGAAAGCTGCTAGAGTAAATACCTGTAGCTGCACTAGAGGCAGGAAAGGGTTGTATATGTGGCTAGTGACCATGGCTTAGTGGATGGGCAGTGGCTTGGGAAGCCAAACTGCCAGGCTTACGTGCTTCTCCTGAAGGTCTCAGGAAGCAGAAAGACAAAAGCAAAGCAGCATCACTTACTGTCGCTTGAGCGTCAGCTTCCGGATGCGGATAAGGTACTGTGTGATCTTAGTAAATCGCTGCTTGCATTTATGCCGGAGGAACCGTGGCCAGTAGATGAGATTCTCATCGATTTCTTCCAGTGCTTTCTCATAGTTCCTGCTCAGCAGGACCTGGGGGAAAGAGGAAGAGGGTCAAGCTCTGGAGCAGCAGTAAAATAGATGCTTCTGCATTTGGGGAGAGCCCTACTGCTGCCCGCCCTCTACTGCCCATCAACGCATTATACTGAAGCACACGTGGTTAACGGTCTGCTCTCATTAACTCACCCGCTCCCAAAGTCGCCTGGGAAAGGCTGCCCGCTCTATTGTCTTCATGTACAGGTAGCACCGACCTAAAGAAAGAAGACTATCAGCCCACCTGACGCCCAGGAGAAAACACTAAGCGTATTCCTGAAACTAGGTGAGCGTTCAGAGCCACCGAGGCACGTGCCCTCCCGGCAGTCAATATTCGCCCCCTCCTCACCCAGCAGGTTTTTCATCGCAAACCAAGGGGAGCTTGGCTCCAAGGGAACTGCCGGCAGGCGCTGCCAGACTCTCACCTTTCTCCTCCCTGATGGTCGCATACTGGCTGTTTGCCAGGGGGCAGGAGGAACGGTTGCAGAGGCCAGTCAGGTTATACTCATTGCGGCAAAAGCTTTGGGTCTTTGTCCTAAAAAGAAGAGACGTGAGATGAACTGCCAGGGCCGAAGCACTGCGCTGCAGCTCCCAGCCGCCCGGCACGTGTGAGGATGGTCACGTCCAGCCCTGCGACCGTCACGCATCAGTCGCGGCAGCAGAGGGATGAGTGAAACCTAGCACAGCAATTCACAGGGAACACGCAGGACCTCGGAGGCGCCAGATTTGCCCCCCCCAGACTCCTCTCCCTGCCTGCAGAGCCCTGC